CCCGGGGGAGCCCTGACGAAGCCCGGGAGGTCGAGCCGTGCTGCCGCCGCGTCCCAGTACCCTTGGCCCGAGGCCATCAGACGCTGCGGCGCCGCTACCCACCGGCGGACAACGGCGTGGCGACTGAGGGACGGGCGCAGGCGCGGCGATCAGAGGAGGGAAGACGACGCGGCGACTGAGGTACGGGCGCAGGCGCGGCGACCGGAGGAGGGAAGACCGCGGCGACTGAGGTACGGGCACAGGCGCGGCGACCAGAGGAGGGAGGACGACGCGGCGACTGAGGTACGGGCACAGGCGCGGCGACCAGAGGAGGGGAGGACGACGCGGCGACTGAGGGACGGCGTCCGTCGGACCCTGCGCGGGTCTGCCGCGGTGTGTGTACACCGGACGGGTGGGCGGGTACTCCCACCGGCTACCGTCGAGTCGGCTCGGCCAGATTATCTCCAGCGTGATGGCCAGCACTTCACCAGTGACAGCAACCCCAGCAGACAACGGTGGGAGCTAGACTCCGGGTGGCCACAGCGAGCTCTCTCCCTACCGCAACCGGCGCCAGGGCCCTCAGGTCCGACACTCGCATGCGAGCGTTCTGCTGCCATGAATCACAGCGCCGTCGCAATTACCAGCAGCTTAATAAAAGCATTCCTCCAGCGCAGAGACATAATTCGGTTAACATTTTAATTGTCCGTGGCAGTGTACCGGCTTTGTAATTGCAATTCTTGCATTCTTTGCAAATAGAAAGTCACCCGTATAAATAATTCATGTGGCGGTGCATGCAGAGCGTGATAAATGAGATGACCCTTGACCTGAGTTTCGGCGGTCGGCACCGCTGACCGGCCGGCCACGTTCCGACCCGGAGTTATCGCCGCAACCGGCCGTAACTCGGCTGACGGTCCGACCCCCCCGCGGAGGGACGAGCGGATATGACCCCCACGGAGGGGACGAGCGGACAGGAACTCGCGGAGGGACGAGCGGATATGACCCCGCGGAGGGACGAGCGGACAGGACCCTTGCGGAGGGACGAGCGGACAGGACCCGCGCAGAGGGACGAACGGACTGGACCCTGTGGAGGGACTAACTGACAGGACCCGCGGAGGGACGAACGGACAGGACCCACGGGGGAATGGACGGACAGGACCCGCGGATGGGTGAACGGACGGGACCCAGCGGGAGAAGGGTCCCGCCCGTTCGTCCCTGCCCGTGGAGCTTGTATCCATGGGCAGTCAGATCCCGTCGCCCGGGTACCAGCGAATCTTTGTCGGGCCGACCTCGCAAGCTACGTTGTCTTAACCCAGGCATGTTCAGCTTGTCACTAAAGTAAACCTAAAAGGCCGATGCATCTTGCTGAAGTCGTTGTCGCTTGAAGCAGCTTATATTTCTTAGATGTAATCCCCGCTTTAATCCAGCGTGATAAACCGGTTTAAAGATGCGACTGGCGGCGTCCAAATCATCGACATAAAAAACTTCTTTCATTTGACCCCCGCCTATACACAACATCGTTTTGGCACAACATGCCCAGTCTCCCAAACCTACCACGATGTCCTCGCACCTGTCTGGGCCCGCCTTGTGCCGGCTCTAGCGGCACGCCTGCGTTCGCTGTCTACCGTGCCGCGCAAGCTACCGCGAAGCGTGGCTGCCTGCGGCTGCCCGTGCCGGCCGGACCCGCCCCAGTTGGAGGGCGCGCGCCGGCCCCCGGCTCCCCCCACCAGTGTCGCCGCGATTCAAACGGCCGCGCGCCGCACTTGTCTACTTAGACAGATGAGAGATCACCCTTGGTATTGCGCTATAACTCCAATCATCGCGCCGTAATCGTACCTCATCGCGTCGTAATCGTCACAGGGCGACGGAAACCGCGTTAAATTTTTAATATAGCTGTTATTTCGGCGTCGGTATAATGCTGTTAGGGCGGCGGCGGGCAGAAGGGTAAAAATATAATTTTTACAAATTGACATGCTGTCCCGAGGGCGTCCGCGGTCGGCGGGGAGCACGCCGCGTCACTGCGGTAGCAGGACATTCAGCAGCCGCGTCACGTCTTTTTGCCAGCGAACAGCGCGTCAACAACGACTGACAATATGCCACAGAATAGTCGCAGGCGCTGTACAGAAGCGCCGGCCGGGCGGGCGCGAAGAAACACGGCCGCTGTTCTCGTTTGCTTACGTGACGGATGAGCTGCTAGAAAGACAGGCGGGTATCTGTTTGTTTATGCCTGAATTTGCATACGATTTCTGCCAACATCCGACGCATTGAAGGCGGAGACCGCCAAACGTGGTGCGTCGCCGGCGCCACATTAGCACAGTTGCGTGCTGGCCCCGGGCGGCCATAAAAGATTTACTGACACGCTCCAGTTTGAGATCTTAATAAGCGCCCATAGATCAGCGGACCGGCTGTCGTCCATCACGCGTGCGGAGGAGGGTGAGAGTGGGGCATGTATCAGTGACCGCGGTCGACGCCAATTATGATCCATTGCCCGCGTTTTGGACGTCCGACACGCTCATTTGTTTACACGGGCGCCGCCCCCCACGCCGAGCTCCGCCGAGTGAAGCGCCCGCCGCCACCGTCCGGCCGGCCGCCCAGAAAACACAGCCAACCCACAGATGTTTGTGGAGTACTCCAGTGAATAACCAATAAGGTGGAGCGGAGGCATTTGTTGGCCGTAATGGCCTTGCTCGCAGCCGATTCGGAGACGTAAGCGATTCGTCCGACTCGCACGGCCGAAAACAATAGGTGCCGCGCCCTGCTTTTGGAGGCGGACGCGAGCCGCTCCGGAGCGCCGGAGAGAGAGAGAGAGCGCGCGGGAGCGCACCGCTTCGCCGATAATCGTACATCACGTTGAATTCCTGCGTCTCCAAATCAGATAGCGGCGCTCATTTTCCTGCGAGTCCCCTAGGATAGGCATCATCACTATTTTTGTCCCATTGTGTGGGGCGATCGGCATTCGCGATAGACGTGCGCAGGGGCGACTGAGCTGGGCAGCGTCGGGCGGCACCGCTGGCCGGCGTCGGCGCCAGCCCGCGGCCCGGCCGCTTACTCCGGCGATCACGCGAGGACGCGCCGGCGCACTCTACGACAGCCACTCGCGAGAAGCCCGTGCCGCATGCTGGGGACTGCACCAACCGCGGAAATGATGGCGTAATTGTACAACTCACTGGGTCGCACGGGTCAGCACGGCACGGGTCCTCAGCAGCACAGCATACCGTGCTGATTACGACATGATTTATGTGGGCGACAAACAGCTGTTTGCAAAGCCTGGTCTGCACGCGCAGGCCAGCTTTGATGCGCCACAGACAGATGATTCGGGGCCACACCAGTGCAGCGTGAGATACTGAGCTGCTGGTGGCGAGAGGTCACTGGGTGCGTCTCACAGGGAGGTTGTGCCCGTCTATCCGGACAGGCAGACGACACCGTCCCGGAGGAAGGCCACCGAGAGCAGCGTCCGTTTTTGTCCGGCGAGTGGGCCGCAGGTACGCAGAGTGCCGCCTCTGCCCTCACCCGTTGGCCTTTTGTAGTGATGAAGCGGCCGACTGGGGCACAGCCGGGCAGGACAGCCCCCGCCATCGACCCCCGGCGCCGGCCCTTCTTCAATGGTACCCTCCGAGCGCACGTTTTTCTCCGCCGGGCGAGAAAAACCCGGTAAGCCGTGTAAAAACCTCCCCGGCCGGCTAGATAAGAGCAACACGATACACGGGTGCGCTGACTGATGGCGGCCGGCACCTCCCGGCGGCGGCTGGCCACCAGCACCGGTCGGCCACCGACAGCTGCCATGCGCCACCAGCCGTGTCCGCCCACGGACAGCTCCTGGGCTCCGGTCGGGCACCGCGCCACAGCACATACCACGCGGTCGTGTTTAATTGGCCGCTTTGTTTAGCGTTGTTTGCATTTTAGGATGTCCGCTGTTTCGTGTGTTTGCGTACCGGGCCGCTGTATGCGCCGCAGCGGGCACTCCCAGGCGCCGGGGTCTCCCATGTGCTGGGCACTCCCAAGCGCCGAGCACCCCCAGTTGCCGCACGTCCGAGGCGCCGGGTTCCCGAGATGCCGGGCTCTCTCAGGCGCCAGGTGCCCCAGGCGCCGATTGTCCGAGGCGTCGTGTGTCCGAGGCGCCGGGTGTCCCAGGCGTCGTGTGCCCGAGGCGCCGGGTTCCCAAAACGCCAGTCACTCCCCAGCCTCTAGCACTCCCAGGCGCTGGGGTCTCCCATGCGCTGGGCACTCCCAGGCGCCGAGCACTCCCAGGTGCCGTGTGTCCGAGGCGCCGGATTCCTGAGACACCGGGGTCTCTCAGGCGCCAGGTGTCCCAGGCGTCGTGTGTCCGGGGCGCCGGACACTCACAAGCATCGAGTTCCTGAGACGCCGGGTTCTCCCAGGCGCCGGATTCCTGAGACGCCAGGCTCTCTCAGGCGCCAGGTGTACCAGGCGTCGCGTGTCCGAGGCGCTGGGCGTACCAGGCGTCGCGTGTCCGAGGCGCCGGACGCTCATAAGCACCGGGTTCCGAGACGTCAGATATCCCCAGCCGCCAGACACTCCCACGCGCCGGGCACTCCCAGGCGCTGAGCACTCCCGGGTGCTGAGCACTCCCAGGTACCGCGTGTTCGTAACGCCGGGCACTGTCAGGTGGCGGACACTCGCAGGCGCCGAGTACTACCAGGCACCGAGCACTCCCAGGTGCCGTGTGTCCGTAGCATCGGGCACTCCCCGGCGCGGACACTCCCCGACGCAGGACACTCCCCGACGCAGGACACTCGCAGGCGCGGGGTGTCCGCGTGGAACCACCAAAAGTGTTTGCAGTCTTCGGCCAAGGACAGCCGTGCACGCCGGCTGGCCACGGGCGCAATTCACTGCCGTGAACACCCTGCGCATTAACAAACCGTTTATGCATGCATGGCGCACCTTTAACACCAGGCCGGTGATGGGCCGACGCAGGAGGGAGCCGGCGCCCAGAGAACGCCTCCCGCCATGTCTGACAATGCCGCATGGCGGCACGGCATGCAGCGGGTCGGCGCTCTGCCGCGTCCCTGCAGCAGCTGGCAGAGGAGCCGACGGCCGCGCCGCGTCCCTGTTGTACCGACACGAGAGGCTGCGTCCCTGACGTACCGCCGCCAGAGGCCGCGTCCCCGATGTACCGACACCAGAGGCCGCGTCCCCGATGTACAGACACCAGAGGCCGCGTCCCCGATGTACCGACACCAGAGGCTGCGTCCCCCGGTGTACCGACACCAGAGGCTGCGTCCCCTATGTACCGACACCAGAGGCTGCGTCCCCGATGTACCGACACCGGAGGCTGCGTCCCCGATGTACCGACACCAGAGGCTGCGTCCCCTATGTACCGACACCAGAGGCTGCGTCCCCCGATGTACCGACACCAGAGGCTGCGTCCCCGATGTACCAACACCAGAGGCTGCGTCCTCCGATGTACCGACACCAGAAGCCGCGTCCCCGATGTACCGACACCAGAGGCTGCGGCCCCTGATGTACCAACACCACGCGCCGCACGCTATGTCGCGGCCCAGCGACCCGGCCGCGGCGACATCGCTAATATGCACTCTCTCCGCAGCCCGTAGTATGTGAGGTGAGGGAGGGGGGGGGGGGGGGAGGGGGGCAAGTTGCCGGCAAGCTGACTCGACCGCCAGGTATCCGCGGTGCAGCGTAAACAACGGCCAGCCCGCCGCCCGACTCATTCATGCCTGCCTGAGATGTGACGTCACTGGTCGTGCCCGATAATTTAATTGCCCGCAATGATGTGTGTCGCGTCGGCCAGAATACTGATGGTGGCGCCGCGGCGCGCGCGGCACCGGGCCGGCCAATTGGTCCATTTCGGGGGCGGCCCGTGCCGCCCGACGTGACTGGGAATGAGCGGCGGCCGTGCCGAAATCACACGGCGGCGCGCCTCTGAAGCGGGAGGCGCCGGGCCGCCGGGATGACACGGAGAGCCGGGCCGGGCCGGCCGGCCGCGCTCTCCGCCCGCCGACGCGTGTGTGCCGGCAGTGGGCACACCAGTCATGGCCCTCTGCAGGCCTAGGCAAACGAATGAAATAGGTCCGCTTACACGTAAATGATCCAATCACTCTTGGTGTGTTTTCTTTTCATGGAAGTTGAAAGTCATGCGGTAAAACACCTTAGTCAAACAGGGACAAAGGCGTTCAAACATTTGAAAGTCTGGAATTGTTCATGGGCGGTAAAAGTGGTCAAGCGAGATGTATCAGAACCCTAAGAATTTTGTCCATAAACTTGCTCAATGGTCGAATGAGCCAATTCCAAGAAATCATGTTCGAAGCACCATCATAATGCATCCCTAAATCCTGCTGCATTGCGAGAAACTCGCATGACGGCTACCTCAAAGCATTATGTGTAACACTGCAGCTGGAGATGTTATCAATCGGCACTTCTAAGAGCTCCCGCGGCCCGGCTTAATTAATGTTCCATTGGCCTGTCGTCGCCGTGAGTAAGTCGTCCTGAATGGTGGTACTGTCAGCGCACGGCCGCAGTCGCCGCGGCGGTAGACCGGCCCGCCGCGCCCGGAGACTGCAACGCCAGCCGCGGCCAGCACCGGCGTTCCGCCGATACCGTCTGATAACCGGCGCGGCCGCCGCACGGGTTATGTGTTTGAATGGCCCTGGTCACCTGCCACATGCAAATGCCTGCTGACATATGCGGCGCACCGACGCGTTCGTTGGCCGTGCGGCGATGTGTCGGAGATTGTGCCGTGTCCCGGCCACGGCCGGCGGGGCCCGGGGCACGCTGGCCGGCGCGGCAGACGGCCAGCCGCCCTGCTCCTGCGCGACGCCACCAATCACAGCTCCCCGGACGCGCACGTGCTCCGCTCCCCAGCGTAGGCGAAAACAGAGACGTGCCAGCGTGGGCGTGCCTCAGCCGGCGGCCTGCAGCCGGGGCTGAGCGCGTGAGACAGCGTGGCGCAGCGACGGACAACGGCGTATGACTGAGCCTCGGGGTACTTACCCTGACTGCGCCGGCTGCATCATCTCTGGAGACCAGTGTAATCTGCAAACAGAGTGACACTGTGAGGCTGCTGAGCTGTAGGCCGACTGCATGTGCGTCTCTGTGCTCGCATCTGTGCGACAAACATCATCTAACGTCGTGCCGGGCGCGGCACATTCGGTGTGGCGACGGCGGCCGTGTGACAGAACTAGTCTTTGCATTGTGCATTCAGCTTCTGGAGCTCGCGTGTGAACGCTCTATTCAGTTCCGGGAGACTCGCGACTATATGGTACATTCAGTCTAGAAACTACAGCTGTGCTAAGTTCAGTTCAGAGGGCAGGTGTCAGTTTGATAGAATTGGGCAGCCTCAGTTGTAGGGTGAGACGTCAACAGTGAGCTGATGCAGCTTGAGACAGGTCAGGGAACTCCAACTGGAGCTGCGGCCGCCTCCGTCCCTCCACTCCTCTGAGCGGAGCCAAGATAGTGATCCGGCAGTCCCCTGTCCCTCTGCGCCCCTAAGCGGGGCCGGGGCAGCGGTCCGACAGTCCTCTGTCCCCCTGCGCCCCTGAGCGGGGCCGGGCAGCGGTCCGGTAGTCCCCTGTCTCTCTTGCGCCCCTGAGCGGGGCCGGGGCAGCAGTCCGACAGTCTCCCATCCCTCCACGCCCCTGAGCGGGGCCGGGGCAGCGGCGCCCACACAGGCCGTCCGGTCGGCTCAGCAGCCTGCTCCTCAGGTGAGCTCGGCCGCCTATGATCAAGCCGATCGCGCCGCCAGCGATGCCCGCCGCTCATGGCCCGTCAACACGCGCCACAATAACACTAAATCCACGTCCACCTGGGTTTTCGCTATTACAAAAAATGAGCTGAATTAGCATATAATTTCTGGGAGGGTTGGCAACGGCGGCGAGGCCTGCGGCGATTGTTGCAGCGATGACCGCGTGCAGGCCTCCGCCGATAACGGTCCGATCGGCTGCGGGCGGTACACTCGTCCCGGCCGCGCCGCGAGCGGCACCGCGCCGCGCTCGGCGCCGATGTCCCCGAAGTCGTCCGTTGGAGGCTGGGCGCTGCGGCGTGCCCGGGCGGCATCGGGTTGACGACAGGAGAGCAGCCTGGCGTCGGCCGCCACAATGCCGGCCGGGGGGGGGGGGGGGGGGGGGGGGGGGGGGCGTGCCGCCGAGCGCCACGCCCGGTTGGACGCGGTCACGCCGCTGGCCGGACGTGCCGGCAGACCGGCCTCTCTCGGGAGGGCATCTGGCTGCAGCGTGCTTAACGTCCGCGCCGGCCTGAACAGTGGCGTGATGTGCCTGGAGAGCGCTAAACTACTGCATTAGCTGTGCTGCCAATTACGCTCATGAGTTTAGGGCGAGGTGTGGACTGGCTCCACGAAGAAGACATTTTTGCACACATGCCTTCTAGATAAGAGCTGATCGTAATCGCCCTCTCTGGTTAAAATATACCACGCAATTACCGTAATAAACTAAGCCCTGGCCCATCAAGCACGTTCCTGCAGAGATACGTTCTTCCACGCAAGAGCTGTTGGCTACTGGTGCTCCCATTCAGGCCACTTTCACGCAGCGACAGCCTTGGGCGTTGCCGCTCCCTTTCACGTTGCAGTTAATTTTCGCGCCGATTTCTCGGCTAGTTTTACAGTTTTACAGATAGGTTGTGACTTCGGGGTGTCTCCACACCACACGCTACTGTTGAAATGCTCTGAGTTGAAGGATTCCAGGTTTTGACGTGAAGCGTTGTGGACGCCGACAGTCACGAGGAGCGGTGATGTGGACGGCGGTCGCGTGGGGACGGCATTGTGGACGACGGTCGCGAGGTACGGCGTTGTGGACGGCGGTCGCGTGGGCGTTGTGGACGGCGGTCGCGAGGTACGGCATTGTGGACGGTGGCCGCGAGGGACGGTGATGTGGACGGCGGTCGCGAGGTACGGCGTTGTGGACGGTGGCCGCGAGGGACGGTGATGTGGACGGCGGTCGCGAGGGACGGCGTCGTGGACGGCGGTCGCGAGGGGCCGGAAAATGAATGGAAATCCCGGAGCGGCGTCTGATCCATTATACAGTGCGCGGTGCGGCCGGCGTGATTCAAACAATGGTCGGGCCGTCAGCCGCTGTTTGGACTAGGGGCGGACGCGGCCGACGCGGCGAGACCGGCCAGACTCCAGTCTGTTGGGTTACGCCAACGCGGGGCGTCTCCGGCGGACGCTGCCTGCTCTCGGCGCTGGCTGGGGCGGCGGCGCGGGCGGCGGCGGCCCAGCGCCGGTCGGCCCGTCGGCCCGGACCACAACGCGTCCTGTCGGGCCCAGAGACGAGCGGCGGTGGCCGCGCTCTGGCCGCGCTCAAGTGGAACCGAGTGGCTGGTGCTTCTTGCCACTCATGGCCATTGATGGATACACCGAGGTGAGGACAAGGATGAGAGGAGAGAATAGAGGGGCGGGGAGAGAAAAGACAGATGGAGCACCAGTCTGGAGAGATGGAAGAGGTACGTAGAGAGGAGGAGGAGATAAAAATCAGGCAGAGGAAGCGATATAAAAAAGATAACGGACATCAAACCATACGCACAGACTGAAAAACAGGCGGTCGCGCACCTAAGCAGGCGATGAGGATTGCGGCACACAGACTGCATGTGTGATCTGGGCGGTGTGGGCTTGGATGAGTCCTGGTGGGTGCTGGGATTCGCCAGTGGTGTCCTGACCAGAAATCAGACATGCCGCGTCATCTCCGGTGAGCGGGGCAGGCGTACCAGGCAAGTGGCCGAACGTCCGTTTTTGCCGGGCCCCGGCGTCTGGCGACGCCGACTGGGGATCAGCACGAGGCCGTTTTTGGCCCGGCCTCCACGAAGCGCAGGAAGGAAGTACGCTATCAACAGTCATCTGCCGCGACAACTGGCGGCGAAGAAAACATTTAATGAAACATGCTTTATCATAATTTACAGCATGGATGTGCAGATAGTGGAAGGTAATGTGGCCCGGAAAAAAGTGGCCGCCGCGCTCCAGCGAGCAGCCGCGCAAAAAGCTGCGCGACGGCATTCCCGGCGCGGCCGCCGGAGAGGTGGCGCGGGGACACGAGATCGGTGCATCCCGGCGGCTGGGAGGCCCGGCTGCGGCGACACGAGATTGGTGCATCCCGGCGGCTGGGAGGCCTGGTTTCGTCCCTCCCCTTCCCCTTGCCGTTCCTCCGTCTGAGGCTCCGGCTTGGCCGCATGGCCGAGATCATGGTCCGCGAGAACAGCGAGCCGTTGTCATTGTTCCTTGACGACGCACGCAGCCACTGAGGCTATATGGCGCCGTCTGCCTCTCCCCATGACAGGAAGGGCGGGCATCGCAGGAAATCGAACCTGTACCTTTGGTCTTCCAGACGCGCAGCGGTGAACGCAGACGGGTCAACCGCTACGCCGTCGGCACCCCCAGAGAGCGCTGAATTGGCCAGTCTATCTGTCCACTTGAAGCGAGAAATCATTACGGAAGGTAAATGTCACACCCTGAACTGGGCCACCAATCGTCGTTACAAGCAGGTTGATCAGGTAACACCTGCCGGTCAGAATTCCCTTGATCCATTTACCTCCGGTCACGAAAGAGCAATTCCACTGTGCTTCGTCTGATACGAGGAGTGATAAACTGCACCACCGACACCCGGCGCTACTCAATTGTCATCCAACTGCAACGAATTGCCCCTCGTGCTTTGCAGCTGTGCTTTGCAGCTATTAACATGCGTGCAATCCACGAATGAGCCCTTCCCAGAAACGGGCAATTAATTCACGGATAGCCGATAAATTAGCTGGTCGCCGGCACGGCGTGCCGGCGCGCTAATTACCGGGCCCCTGTCACAACACGCCCCAGCACAGCACCAGCACGCGCTCTGGCCGCCCTCTGTCCGCGCCGACACCCGACCACGCCAGCGAATCACCGGGCCAGACGTGATTAGCGTTTGGTGGCGGCGGGGCGGCCTTGCCGGCCGCGCGCCAGCCGTGAATCCCGATTGAGGTTTGGCATTCTGCCGGTGTCACCTGGCAGCGGCCCTCGTCACGCGCCCGCGCGCGCCCGCCGCCGCCAGCACGTCCGCGCCGGCCGCCGCCGGCCGGCCAAGGTGGCGCGCATGCAAATGAGTGATTACGGTGGCGCGCGAGTGAGTGGGGCGTGGCCGCCGCGGCAGACGGCCCTCGTCCATGGATCGGCGCACCCGAGCCAGACGAAAAGGCGCCAGCAGTGCCGATGACCAGTGGGGCGGGACTGGAAGACAGCCGGCGGGGTGCGTGGCGTCCGGGCAGGCCGGTCACGCCCACCTGTTTATGCAGATGATGTTGACACGGCGGGAGACCGGCCAATTCCGGACAGAATCGGTGCTTCTTATGGCCCGAGAGTGATCTCATCAAATGACTGAAACCGTACGTCGCCGACTTATGGTATCGGTCAACTCGCTTACAATCGAATGCTCAACCGTACAAATATGTTGAGTGTCAAACCGAGTACCCTTGTCTGCAAAATCGTACATATGTTCACAAAGCTAGCAGCTTCCGGCCTCGAACGAGCATTGATACGAGGCCTGAGAGCGGACGACAGAAGTCGCATGCGGTGGAGGCTGTGTTCTAGTGAGTGCAGCGCCAGTGAGACGCCCGGCGAGTCGAGGGCGCGCGTCTGTGGAGGGCTGGCCAGCCCGACGCTGCAGCACGCGCTGGCACGGCGGCGCTCCTGCGCGGAGCAGCGCGCTCTGCAGCGTCGGTGAAGAGCCGCCAGTGACGGCCGCCTGGCAGGGGCGGCCGGATCGACAGGTCAGCAGCCTGCAGCCCGGCCGGGGCCACAGCTGGTGCGCCCCGCGGCGGGGCTGCCACCACACCAGGTGAGCCGGCAGCTACTGCCGAACATCGGCGCCCTCCGCCTCATGGCAGGAGCGAGAAGCCAACGCCTCCACCGTCCGGTGGTTCAGATCTAGTGACTTTGCTGCAGGTCTGCACTTCCCGTGGGATGAAGCTTCGCCTATCCATCCAAGACCCGTGGTGCGGTGGGCGGCTGCTCGGCTCGCGCCGTGCTCTGGCACTTCGAACGGCGACCGGACACCGATGGA